CTCTGTCAGTGCTGAGTACCATCTGACATGAATGGTGAAAAGAGAGATATTTGCCTGCCAGGATTCCCATGCACCTGTACATAAATCAAATATCTATACCCTTTAAACCAAGCAAGGATTATGTGGTTTGAATTCAGACCTCTAGGGTATGGTATAATCCCCTATAATACCCTCATTTTGAAAACAATTCCAATTTTTTAAAGTATAGCCAAGTTTCAACTTAAGTGATTTTAAAATGCATGGTAGGACTGATAAAAAGTTATTTTTTCAAGATGAAAAGTCAAATCAGCTCTTACTTCCACATTTCTAGAAATACTTAATACTCAAAATTATACCCATTTTCCACTTAGTTCTTGTTACTATAACTATAAAATTGAAAGAACCAGATCATTCAATTATACCTGATATAAAAACAGAAGGAAATTTGATATAGGTTAATTGTAGGTTGAAAGATTTATTTACTTGCGATGTGCTTTATCCTTCTCCAGTTTTCTTAGCCTCTTCTTTGTATAGAAAAATGTTCTGCTTTTATTTTTTACTAAACCTAAAAGTCTCTTCTTATTTGCATAAAATGGCATACAATTATCCCCTTGCAAATGGAGCCACTACAGCTCAAATTAAAACCCAACATTCATAAGGTGTTATTCTCCAGATATATTCTTAGCTGCGACTGAGCTCAGTGGGATTTATGTGAACTTGAAAATTAATAAATTGGCATATTAGTTGTAAAATACAAGGAATAATTTCCTGTCTTTGCCAGATGATCTATTTGGATTAATGCCTGTAAAAGTTCAACTACAGCTGTCTGCACTGAATTTTTAAATAATGAAACCATAACCCTTCTCCCAAGGAGTTTATTAAACTCTCCTTTGATTAATGCTGTGGCTCACCCCTCCTGGGAAGTCAGATGTATAATCAATATTACAAGCACATCCCCCTATATTACATGGAGAACTCCAGCTGCTAGGTCACTTAATACAAATGTATCATCTAAATTCATGAACATGGTAATGCTGTTCAAATTTTTTAATCTAACAGAAACAAATCTATCAATCAGCCTGTCCACTTAATTTCCGAAGATTAGAGTGAAGGAGTTAGCCATGGCCTAATTAATATCATCATAAGTAACAGAAATAAAAAGAGATCTTTTTAAGTTTTTGAGCCTACTAGACATAACACTAGTACAGTCTCAGAAATAAGTCCCTCAACTTTCATCAAATTATCCGAGTGTAATACACACGAATGAGAGTGGCAGCAAACATTCTGAGATAAGTTTTAGAGATCTCTAAATTTGACATGACCTACAAGGAGCTGTGCAGCTGTTATTCAAAATTGCCAAAAAGCCCATGATGTACGAATCAAGGGAATTAAATGTGATGATGAGAGTCTAGGTGGTTTCTGGCAAGACTCAGAAAATCCAAGTAGGGAGCCCAATATCAATACTCTTGAGAGAAGTTAGATGTGGAGGGGGAAGAGGAAAAGAGAACAACAGAAAGGAATCAGATGTGTATAACATAGACATATACACAGAAGCAAAATAGTGTAGTGGTCAGGACCTGACTTTCTGTGTTCAAATCCTCCCCCCACCATCAAGCAGCTATGGGACCTTAGGCAACTTACTTAACCTCTGCCCCTAAATTTCTTTATTTGAAAAATGGTGATAGTGATAATAAGGTTGTTGGAAGGGTTAATTAATATGTGTAAAGAATTAAGAACAGGGCTTGGAACATAGCAGATCCTCAATTAATGGCAATTATTACTACTTTGAGTTATTCCCTCATCTATTTTGTTTTTCTCTTTTTTGTTTGTTTGTTTCTAATCTTATTCTACCCATTCCTCTGTTTGTTATTTGGAGACAATTAGACAGCCAAAGAATGAACGATACATGTTTCCTGTAAAATCTCTTCTGTGCCTCAAAATTGACTCTAAGAGAGGGAGAATCAGCCAGCTGCTTCCTGGGTGCCAATTTAAAAACAGAGGAAAAAACATTTCAGACTTAAGTTCTAGTTGGACCTCTTTCTGAGCCATAAGCTGAGTTTGAATCAATCACTCTTTGTACGTGTTACTTTTCTCATCTTCAAAATGAGAGTATGGATTTATAATATAGGCCTATAACTCCAAAGCCTGTAGGGGTGAGGTAAGAAATATAAATAAGTACTTCCTGTGTGAGACAACAGGGAGTGGTAGGGACTTCGGCAAACTGAGAAGCACCTGCCCTGATTGATGGAGTCAACTGCTAATCCTCATCTGCCAACACTCAATAATTCAGACTTGAAATCTTCCTAAGAAGTCAGGAATTCTTACTTTTAAATGTTGGCTTAAATAAATTTAACACGTTACGTGGGCAAACAAAACATGACTAAAGACCCACTACTCAACCATTTCTGCATTTTGTTCCAAGTGATTTTCTAAAACGCATTCTAGTTATTACCTTCCATCATTCATTACAACACGATGCCCAAAGACAACAGCTAGTTCCAATCCAAACCAGACATTCTATGACCCAGGCAGTTACTCCTGTTTGCAGACAAAATTTTTGATCTGCTTGAAAACGTTTACTTAGCTGTAAACAGTACACGCTAAAACTTCTGGAATAATCTGAGGACACTTTTTTTTACATGTTGAAATTTGTAACTCAGGTCAGCATGGATCTACTTTTGATGCCATTTAGATCTAGAAGGTGAAACAAATTAAAAATGATTCTTCAGTTCTTGTTTGATTCATTCACCCTCATTTAATTATATGCAACTATAATATGCAGGCCCCAAAATGCAACTGTGAAATGTCTGATTTAAAATTCACAGAGTTTTTAAATAGAAATTAAAGTGCCTGTTTG